GGGATTCCAACATACCTCCTTCATTGAAACTGTACTGTTGCTCCTAGAAGTAGACCTCGCCCCTGATCTTGGTATTTTGGGTCTTCCCCTGCTCGAAGCGTTCGATCTTGGGCGAGTAAACGTACTTTCTGGTGGTTTGGGCGCATTTAAGAGCTCCTCATCCTTTTCGTCTTGTTTGATTAGTTGAGAGTATATATCTTGTTGTCCGACCATTTCTTCATCCTCAACAACAGCCGGAATGGTGGGTTGCCGCTCACCTGAGGTGGTGGCGTTACGGAAGAAGCCTTCCTTTAATGGCGAGACGTTTCGCTCATAGTCCTCATTCCGTTGTTTCTTGAGGTTGGGCGCAGGAGTTCGCCCAGCGGGCTCCCTCTCATGCTTCGTTTGAGTCTCCGTCCTGTCCGCCTGAGGCGTTCGGATACTAGTGTCTTCATCGGATCCACCTGGAGACCAACTTTCGTCTCGAGCAGGGATGCCTTCATCCATCATCACGGACAACGCTCGGCTCAGGGAAATATCATTATTGATACTATCAACATTTTCTTCCATGGAATATATTTCGTGATCTTTGTCTATCAGATCATCGCTATCCTGACCGAATTGTCCGTTAAGTGCTATAGGGGTTGGGGCAGTAACATGCGTACCCACCCAATCTACGGGGATATTAAGATACGCATTCGGATTCCCTTGGGCTTCCCCTGGCCGGCTGGCTTCGCCAGCGGCAATGGCAGTAGCTAGTGGAGCATTCTGGATGGGACTTATCGACTCCGTCGAGATGGCACTCAACCTCGAAGAGAATGCACCTCGCCTGGGCCTTGGCGTGACGCCCTCTCGCCCGTGAGGGTCGGGGGTTTGCTCACGATCACCTATCGGAGCCCCTGCTGTGGATACGTCTACCGACATTTCGGTTATCCCATCGTTACTTCTCCCCCTCATGATCCGATCGGCGATAGTTTGAGGAGGGATTCGGTCTTGAATAGGACCGATTCTATCTGTATCGTGTCCATCATGTTGTTCAACGCGCCTATCAGCGCTTCTCGAGATATTAGACACGATATTAGTATTATCATAGCTCTCTCCCGCAGCGACTGAATCGCGGGGCACGACTGAAAGATCTTCTTTTGTATCTAGTGGCCCCGCGTCGACTGAGTCGCGCTTTTCGGCTGATAACCAGTCTTTCCTCTGAGAATCGGGGTAAGATGACAAAGCAATTGAGATCTCATGTTCACTCTGCTCAGGGAGAGCGGGGACGGGATGATACATTGACAAGACAGACATCCGTTAAGCTAAACCACTCTATCAGGAATAGTAAGGGAGGAGGAAGGCCGAGGACGGACGACGACGAATCGCCCGCGCGCCCCAGCGCGCTCCTTTTCTCTCCTGCCAGCCGAGGTCGGCTGGTTTGAGCAGTTATACAGCTGCAGAAACGCAGCTTCAGTTCACGCGGGCAGTTCGTTGCATGCAAACTAAGTTAAGTTCTAATTGAGTATGAGGCGGAGAGGAGCATATTTACTGGAGGAAGAGGAGGAGGAGGCGGAGGAGGAGGAGGAGGAGAAGGACGATGATGGGAAACGTAATGAGGGTGAGGGTCTCAGGAGGTGGAAGGGGTAGGAGTAGCATGATGAGGAGGATGAGTTGACGGGGGGGATGAGGGAGGAGGGGGGGGGAGGAGGAACAGGAGGAATAGGAGGAGGAGGAGGAGGAGGAGGAGGGAGGAGGAGGAGGAGGAGGAGGAGGAGGAGGAGGAGGAGGAGGAGGAGGAGGAGGAGGAGGAGGAGGAGGAGGATGACGATGATGATGATGAGGGAAAGGAGGAGGAGAAGGACGATGACAACCCCGCGCACGCGGGCGTCAGGACGTCACTCCAAAGGAGCACGTGTCTCCGGGGCGGTGCAGTGGCGGCAGACCGGGCACGCTGCGAGGCGGTGCCTTCGGGGCAGCTGGAGCCACAAAGCTTGCACTGACACAGTCGGCCTCCCCCTCTCCAAGAGCAAGAGGAAGAGAACACCTCCTCCGCCTCCCCCCTCCTCCCCCCCTCCTTCCCTCTACTCCTCCTCCTCCCTTCCTCCTCCTCCTCCTCCTCCACCTCCGACAGTCACGCCCTGAGGGGTACGGCTGCACCTCCGACAGTCACGCCCTGAGGGGTACGGCTGCACCTCCGACAGTCACGCCCTGAGGGGTACGGCTGCACCTCCGACAGTCACGCCCTGAGGGGTACGGCTGCACCTCCGACAGTCACGCCCTGAGGGGTACGGCTGCTGAGGGGTACGGCTGCACCTCCTCCCTCCTCCCCTGCCCCCTCGCCCCCTTCCTCCGACAGCCACGCCCTGCGGGGTACAGCTGCACCTCAGCCTGCCCCCTCCCTTCACACTTTGTCCCCGCTGCCGTTTGTGTTCAAGGGGGGTCTAGGGGGATTAGCAGGAATCCGACACCAAGGGACCAGGAGACACCTAGGGACCCGGACCAAAGGGATTAGCAGGAATCCGACACCAAGGGACCAAGGGTCACCTAGGGAGGCTCTCGGCGGGGCGCGGCTGTAGCAGGGGCCTACTGGTGCCCACGGGATGGCAGCGGTGCGACGCGGCTATACGCCGAGCCTCCCCTTGGGGCTTCATTGTTGCGAGTCGTGGCCGTGGGGGGGGCGTCATAATCCCCGCCGCGTGGCCCTTGGCACCCGATGCCCCGTGGGCCCGAGACATCACGTGGCGAAGGGGGATCGTCTTTTCTTTCCCCCCCCTGGTGTGGCCACCCATGGCATGCCCCCCTTGGCCGACCGCCAGCGACGACGCTTCTGGTACACTTTCCCCTCTTCCATCCTCTCCCACCGTCCTCTCCCCTCCCCCCTCCGACGGCCACGCCCTGCGGGGTACGGCCGCACCTCTGCCTGTCTTGCCGCCTCCTCCCTTCTTCCCTCCTTCCTCCGACTACCACGCCCCGCGGGGTACGCGTGCACCCCCGCCTACCTCCCTCTTCCCTCCTCCGTGGATGGGGCGGTCCGGTGGGTATGCAAAAATCGCCACAGCGAAAGGCATGATCCGAACACTGTCACATCAGCAAGCCGCTGGCGCATCGCCGAGAGCCTTCTGGGGCGCCCTGCCGAAAGGTACGCCACTCTTCGTGCGGTGCCTTCTTACTGACTATCGTAAGGGGTCCTGCCCTCCTCCTTCCCTCCTCCTCCCCACCTTCGTCGCCGTCGTCGTCGTCGTCGTCGTCCTCCTCCTCCTCCTCTTCTTTCTTCTCTTCCTCCTCCTCCGCCCAGCCCTCCCTCTTCTCCGTCTTCTTCCTCTCCGTACTCCAGCCTGCTGCTCTCCAGGGCTAGGTCCTGCGGGACAACGCCCCCACCCCGGAGCCGCGGGGATATAGGCCCTGCGGGGTGTTCCCACCCAGCCCGGGATGGACGCTACCCTGCGGGGTATTATAACCACCTGCCGAATGCTCAACCGAATGCTCCCTCCTTCTCCTCCTGCTCCCGTTCCCGTGACACTTGATCCTCCTCCTCCTCCTCCTCCTCCTACTCCTCCTCCTCTCCTTCTCCTCCTTTCCTCCTCGTTCCCCCACAATCTCCTCCTCCCGATTCCCTCTTTCATTTTCCCCCTGTCCCTGTCCTCGTCCTCGTCCCCTTTCTACCTGCCTTCTCCCCCCCTCCCACTCCCACGGCGGGGGAACGAATATCAACACCCTTCTGGTTTAGGCAGCCCCGAGCGCTTGGCGAAGTGCTGCTCCAAGCCCGCGTGCCAGTCGCTCCGCCGCGATTTCGGGCACGGGTGGCAGTCTGGGGCCTCGTCCTGCCAGGTTGGAGAAGGAGGCGAGGGAGGAAGGAGGAAGAAAAGGCTGAGGATGATGAGGAGGATGAAGAGGGCCAGTGTAAACCCAAGACTCATCAATTCTTATGGAGTGCACCATCCCTCCACGCTCCCTCTTCATGGGCCCCATACAAGAATGCATTTCCACAAGGGAAGTGCCCCGTTGGGGGACAGCCGTGAGAAAATCTTGAAGCGTGCCAAATCACCATTCTCAGGACTTCAACGCCACGAGTCAACCTGACTGTTGCGTGTTGACGATTCCGAATCGTGCCAGATCACCTTTCCTGGACCTTCAACACCGCGAATCTAAATAACTGTTGCACCCAGACAATCCACACTCGTTGTGAAACACCATTTCTGGTACGTTAACCATGATATCCAATGAATCTCTGCCAATTTTTTGAAATGAATGTGCGCTGCGCTAAAGCGAGAGCGAGAACCGAACTTTGAGAAGAAACCGCCCTCACACCGTGGAGCTCTTGCAGTTTTTGGCAACGAATGTGCGCGGCGCTACAGCGATAACCACATTTTGAAAAAAAGCCGCCTTGAATCCGTGAAACACTGGCAAGTATCTAAGATTAATGTGCGCGGCGCTACGGCGATAACCAAATTTTGAAAAAAGGGAGCCGCCCTCAATCCGTGGTGCTTTCACAAAGTTTCAGCGTGAATGTGCGCGTGAAACGAGAACCACAACTTGAAAACGACCTGCCCTCAATCCGAGAAGCTCTTGCAAATCTTTACATCGAATGTGCGCGGCGGTAAAGCGAGAGCCACATTTTTGACGTGGCCCGTTTCAATTTGTGAAACTGTTGTCAGTTTTCATGCTTGAAGCTCATTGATGGTAAACGTCTCAAGCGAAACGCCCGGGGTACCCTTTCGACTGGCGTCGGAGTGCGACAGGGAAGAGCTATTCATGAGGAAAACGAGTGGAGGAAGAGGAGGAGGTGGAGGTGGAGGAGGAGGTGGACGAGGAGGATGAGGAGGAGGAAGAGGAGGAGGCCGAGAAAGAGAGAGAAAGAGAGAGACGGAAAGGAGGAGGATCCGCTGCGCTCAACCTGCGGACCCTGCAACGTGCAAAGGTGCCATACCACGGCCATCGCAGCTGTAAAAGGCTTCCCCCCCCCACACACACATCTTCTGTGTGCAGGAGGGATGGGCCCTGCCTCAAAGGACGCCGCTGGGCCCTCTCCACCTCCATTATGTGGGCGGCCGCTCGAAGACGAGTTGGCACCTCGGGTTCACAGCGGATCCTGCAACGCGGCAGGCGCCCGGCACGGGCCTGGCCGCACCTCTAGCGGAGTACTTGCAGCCCGCTCCAATGTCCTCCGAGGCCGCTACGGCGTCGGAGGACGATTAGCGGCACCAAGGCGCAATCGGCATTACCGGGCTCCACGGCCCAGCTCGCACAGCCGCGCACCACTGGGCGCCTGCCGCCGAAGACGACGCTGCAAAGGAGCAGCACAGAGGCGCCCAGCGGCTGCAGCGACCCAAAACCAGCCGCCAGCGGGCGAGGCCTCCACTCGCTGCGCGAGGCATCGAGCGGGCCGAGCGGGCAAGTCCATGCGGGCGCGCGGCCACTGCGCCAGGGGGCGTCGGGCGGGCGCGGCAGGGCCAGGGACCACGCCTACGCCTTGAGTCTCACCAGCTGGCCCTCGCCCCTTCCAACTCCCCTCCTCCTCAGGCTCCTCCTCCCGCTCCCTCGCCACGGCCCCAAGGGGCTCCCAACAGTGACCGGCACCCGTGAACGGGACCCTTGGGGCGGCCGGAATGGTCGATCCGATCGCACCCTCGCGCCAGTGACGCCGCCGCCTTGGGCGAGGGGCTCCCTCTCCTTCCACTACTTCGCCTCTGCCTCCGACGACGGGACGGCGACGGGACGGCGACGACGACGACGACGACGTCTAAGTCGGTCCTCGTGCTGCTCTGGCTGCTCTGGCTGGTCCGCCTGGCCGGCGGCGTCGCCGGTGCCTCTGTCGCTCCCGCAGGGCCACCGACAGCAGCACTGCCTGAGGGGAGGAGGGGGTTTCAGGAGGAGAGGCGGAGGAGGAGGACGATGAGGAGGAGTGTGACAAGGACGAGGACGAGAAGGAGGACAAGGACGAGGAGGGAGGCGCGGCAGAAGGGCCCTGGGAGGCCATGGTGCTGTCCGTGGCCCCCTCGGCGCTCACATCCTGCAACGCGCTGCTGGTCAAGGCGCGGCCGTTCCCCTCCCTCCTCCGCGGTCTTCCGCCTAAACCCATCCATGGCTGTGACGTTCAGGAGGAGGATGAGGAGGATGAGGATGAGGAGGAGGAGGAGGACGAGGAGGAGGACGAGGACGAGGAGGAGGAGAAGGAGGAGGAGGAGGATGAAGAGGAGAGGAGGAGGAGGAGGAGGAGGAGGAGGAGGAGGAGGAGGAGGAGGAGGAGCAGGAGGAGGACGCACGAAGGCCGCTTGCGGGAACTCTAGATTCCCCGCGCTCGCCCCCGGGCGCCGCGCACGGCCGCGCGCGCGCCCCCGGGGGCGCTGGCCTCAGCGCGCCGCCGCAACGGACCAAGGCCAAGACGTACGCTGTGAAGAAGGCCAAGACCTACAGGCTGAGCCTCAAACTCCACAGGCAGAACCTTTAGATCCACAGGCAGAACCTCAAGATACACAGGCAGAACCTCACGAGCCACAGGCAGAACCTCAGGATCTACAAACTGAGGGCTACGAGACTTGCCTACATTCGTGGAGACGTACCGGCAGTACTGCCAAGACCGTACACGCGTAGATGAACCATGCGTGCGAACAGACGCGGTCCAAAAACGAGTGGGCTACAACGCCCAGCATGGGATACAGCCTCGACCCGACATCATTATCATTGCTACGACCGCCTTCGCGAGAGCGTCCAGGCACGAGCTGTGTTAGATGCAGACCAAATGCGACATCGAGCCGCGTAACAGGCAGCACAAGCACGAGAGCGAGCTGTGTAACAGACAACACAAATGGACGACCATTGCTATTACGACACCAAGTACGCCACCAAGACCGACAACAATAACGACACGACAGAACAGCTCCAATGTGACACTAAGTACGTCGTCGTGGAGGCACCAGTGGACAACGGCCGCGTCGCCGACGACGAATAAGACTACGGCCGCGCCGCCTACGACGGGTACGACTACGCCAGCCTCGATAGCAACCTGTACTCCTACGGCCCCCAGGACTACTCCAGCTTCCACGACTACGATGGGCCGCAAGGCTACGACAGCCGCCTGGACTACAGTTATATCCAGAACGTGGAACACTACGACTTGGGTCAACACGAGATGATCGGGATCAACCACGAGCTGTACTTGTGCCAGCTCGGGACTCCGTCCGACATCGACGCGTTCAGTTTATTAGGTAGTGGTCTACCCTCGGATGTGATGGCAGCCATCGAGGCTGCGAAGAGCACGCGACATGTTAGATGGAATACGATACAGTTCTGGACGTGTACCCACTTGTATGATCTGTCTTGGTGGTGCGATGGTGGTGATGATGGTGGTGATGATGGTGACGATGATGATGATGATACTGGTAATGATGATAATGATGATGATTACGATGATGATGACGATGATGATGATGATGATGATGATGATGATGATGATGATGATGATGATGATGGAGCAGTGGGCCTACTACTACAGGCGGCTGACTCGAAACAAAGACTGGAACACATTGTAGCACGCACTGCATGGCAGTGGGCCTCCTGTCCTCCGTGCTGGTGCACCAGGAACGTTTGCCAATAATTGGAAGCAGGTAACCACGCCTGCTAGGATGGCGCCTCGCATAGTCAAGATCCTTGGAATTGAGGAACGTGTGAAGCCACGGTCCACCTATGAAAATGTCAAAAAATCGCAGGTGAAACAATGTAGCAGATCAGTGCTTGCTTGTGGACAAGATCCCACAGGAAATCCGAGCATGGCTGAAGGAGCGCCCGCTGGGTTCCAAGAAGCCGACGGGGCAGCAGCAGGTCCACGAGCAGCAATATCAAACCAACAAGACAAAGAGACGTGCCCCTGCTGCCTCGCGGCGTGCTGTTTTGCGGGGGGACGGAGAGAGAGAGAGAGAGAGAGAGAGAGAGAGAGAGAGAGGAAGAAATCAACAAACGCACGCTGCCGTTCGTGTAGTTCTAGGGAAGTCACGAGCAATATACTACATATCGATACACGCGCATACTAGAACCACGCGCGCGCTTCGCGCGCTTAGGTTCTAGCGCCGATCGGGGCAGCGGCTCAACAACGGACGGGTCGGAGTCAAATCCCCAAGCCCAATCGCCACGGATCGCCAGAGCGGAGGCTCTCATCGACCTTGTCATGGTCATCGCCGTCCTTCTGTTCATTGCACTCTCCTCCTCCTCATACTCCTCCGCCGAACTATCACCATGATGCCTCCTCTATTGTTTTCTCTGTTCCTCTTTCTCTGATCCTCTTTCTCCTCTTTCCATCATTCATCCTCCACCCGCTCTTACTCCATGCTCCCAATTGTTACCGTCCTCTCGTTTCTAATTTTCCGCCGCCATCAGCCCCGCCCTCCCACGAGATCCTCTCTCTTTGGTTTCATATCCATCATCCTTATACTCGCCATCAAGACGTCCTTCCCTCGAGGCGATGGATTGTAGCAGTGATGATCGAGGAGTCTGGTAGGCTGCCTTCCCCCCCTCCTTCTCTTGTTCTCTCTCTCTCTCTCTTTTTCTCTCTCTCTCTCTCTCTCTCTCTCCTCTTGCGTTTTAGTCCACTGGCTGCTTTCTCCTCCTCCACATCCAGAACGTTAGAACGCACCGCGCGCTCGCTCCTGATGAGGGTGATGAGTTGAACCCTGCGGAACTTTGGGGTTACTCTCGGGAGAACGGGGTTCGGGGTCGGCGTGGGCGAGTATCCTGGACGCAAGATTACTGGGGGAGGCAGGGACATGTTGGAAGCATTACTGGGGCTTTTGGGCCGCCTTAGGGCTCTCTGGGGCCATCTTGGGGCCATCTTGGGGCCTTGTTGGGGGCCACACGGGCCGTATTGGGGCGACTCGGGAGGCTCCGCGGGCCGCCGCGGCCGTCTTGGGGTCCTCTTGGGCCGTCTTGGGGGGCTCTGGGGCTGCCTCAGGGCCATCTTGGACGCCCTACTGGGGTCCTTGGGGCTCTCTTGGGCCGCCTTGGGGCTTTCTTGGGTTATCCTGGGGCCTTCGTGGAGGGCTTTAGGGTGGCCTTGGGGCGACTTGGAAGGCCCCTCGGGCCGCTGTAAGCGGTCAGGAGGCCGAAAAAGCGAGAATGCTAGAAACCTCCACCAACCTTTCAGAAATCTACAAATTTGGCCTCGTGAGGCTCCCTTGGGGAAGCTCTTTGCCCCCCCGCCCCCCCCTGGGCTGCCTTGGAGCGCCAATGAACAATCTTGGGACTCTCGTACGCCTCTGTGAAGCCGTCTTGGGCTAACTTGGGGGCCGCTTGCGGGCCCCTCAGGACAACCCGTGGCCCCGGTCAACTCGACGGGACCCCGGGCACACCAGTCGCCAGTCGATGCTCCTGCCCGGGGACCCCTGGCCCGAGTCCCCCTTTATATACTTATGTATGCATGCATGCATGTATGCATGTATACATGTGTATGTGTATGTGTATGTACGTGTGTATGCGTGTATGTGTGTATGTGTGTATGTGTGAATGTGTATGTGCATGTGAAACTGTATGTGTATGTGCATGTGTACGTGTACGTGTACGTGTATGTGTATGTGTGTGTTTGTATATGTATGTAGGTATACGTGTATGTGTATGTGTATGCTTTTGCATATGCAAAACTGTGTATATGTATTTGTATGTGTGTATGTGTATGTTTATGTCGATGCAAATATTACAAGTGTATATACGCGTGTATACATGTACATATGTATGTATGCATGCATGCATGCATGCATGCATGCACACACGCACGTACGTATATACATATACACTTGACATGTGTGTATCAATATGTACATCTATACCAGATGGCATGTATAGATGTATGTGCATACGCCCATCGAATCCTTCGAGCCACTTTCTCCATCAGAAAAGCGGAATCGGTCGCCGCATGAATGCTGACAGGATGATGAGGATAAGGAGGTCACAGCAGCAGCAGCAGCAGCAGCAACATGAGCATCAGGAGTACCGCCGAGTCGATCCGGCCCGAGGGGGACACCGCCGACATGCCCACTGGTCGAGCCGATCCGATCCTCCGGAGGACAGCGGCGGCCGCCCGTCGCCCGTCGCCCGTCCTTGCCGTCCTTCTCCTCCGCCTCTTCCCCATCCTCCTGCTCCTCCCTCCTTCTCCGCTCGCCCTCCCTCGCCCTTCCCTCCCTCCGCCTCCTCGCTTCTCGCTCCTCCTCTGTTCGTCTGGCTTGTCCTCCTCCTCGCTCCTCCTCTTCGTTCCTCCTCGCTCCTCTTCCTCGCCGCCGCCGCCGTCTCCGCCGCGGGCCCGCGCCGCCTGAGTGCCGACAGGCGGCGCCGTAGGCCCGCGCCGCGCTGGCGGCGGGGCGGCAGCGGGCAGAGCGCGTCGAGCGCGGCGGCCAGCGGCAGCAGCGCCGCGCCGTCCGCGGCGGCGCTCGCGGCGCCCGCGGCGTCCGCCTGCGCGGCGTCCGCCTGCGCGGCGTCCGCCTGCGCGGCGTCCGCGGCGGCCGCGAGCGTCCGCTCCTCAGTCGCCAGTGCGCCGTTGGAAGGAAGGGGAGAGGGCAGGGGGGGAGGGGGCGGGGGGAATGAGGAAGAGTGACAGCGATGAGGAAAGCCGGCGAGGAGGAGGAGGAGGAGGAGGAGGAGGAGGAGGAGGAGGAGGAGGAGGAGGAGGAGGAGGAGGGAGCAGGAGCGAGGAGGAGCGGGGAGGAGCGGGGAGGAGATGGGTCGCGGCGGCGGCCGCGAACGCCCGCTCCTCTGACGTCGGGGCGTCGCGAGGAACGAGGGGCGATATCTTTGGGCATTTCGAGCCTCCGCGGACATCGCCACGGCTGGATGTCCCTGGAAAAGCCTGGGGGTCAGATTTTCGGGGCGTCGCGAGGATTGGCGGTCGAACTTCTCTGCGTATTTCCGGGTCTTTTGGGGCTTCCTGGGGCGTCCTCGCGCCACAGCTGGATCCTCCTCGGCATTCTGGTCAGAACGCGCCTCTGGACAGGTCTGGGGGGCCGAGGTTTGACGTGGGAGCATGAGGAGGGAGGAGGGAGCGGGAGGAGGGAGGGGAGGAGGAGACATGAGGGAGAACAGAGGAAGGAGGAAGGAGCAGAGGAGGATGAGGAGCAGGAACCGATATGCAACTTCTTGAGCCTCCGGGGGGACCCTCCTTGCCAGGGCCGGATTCGCCTCGAAATCCTGGTCAGAACGCGCTCCAGAAGAGGTCGAAGGGCCGACTTTGCCAGAAGATTTGCCACCACAGCCGCTCTCCATCCCGGAGTCGTGACAAATGCGACGGGCGTTCCGGCCCCCTTGCATCGAGGGAGCTGGGGACCTTCGTGGATCGACCCGGCTTGCAGAATCTCGCGAAACGCCGGGGTCGTGAACGCCAGTCGTGGCCTCTGAAGTTACAGTGGGGGCCAAACCACAAGAAGCCTTCCACAAGAAACCCCACCCTGAGACCCCAGGAAGTTCATTGATTTTGTGGTGTGGGAGCGTCACGCTTTCTATCGCACAACCATCGAAACCCAGAAAACCCAGGGCACCCTGCAGGCAAGCAGGGTGTTTCTTGGCATGGGCCCCCCACTGTAAGGTGCGCTGCACTTCTGCCCATGACGCCGGACGTTTGGGTCCAGCAGCGCCAGCGCCGCGTCGCTGCGGGGGCAGCCCTCGGTGCACAGGCGCCGCATGCCGAGCATCAGGCGGGGCAGGCTGATGGCACACAGAAGCCACCTGTGCACGACGACCATGCCTGGCCATGGCCATCCTGTGCCATGGCGTGGCGCGGATGCCCCCCTGGCCGAAACCCACAAGAAGGGTCTATCATACACCACTCCGAGGGCCAAGATGGCCCTGGCCGGGCACGGTGGTGGTGTACAGGGGCCCTCTGCGTAGATGGGTATCCGGTCCTCCCGGCAGGGGGCCTTCCTGCCTAGGGCCACTGCGGAGGGCGCCCCGAGCACGCGCAGAGCCTGCGACACTTCGCGCCGCAGCGCGGGGGTGCCCGGTGGCGCGTCGGGGTCCGCGGGCGCGGCCGTCTCTGCTGCGGCGGGCTGCTCGGTGTCGGCGACCGCTGGCGCGGTGGCGCCTGCGCCGCCAACGACAACGACGGCAGCGGAGACGGCAGCGGAGACAGCAGCGACGACGGCGACGGTGCCTGCGGCGACGGTGACAGCGATGGCGACGGCGGCGTTTTCGGCGGCGTTATTCGGCGACGGCGGCGCCTTCCGCCAGAGGATCGTCATCGGGGAGGCCGTCGTCGTCGAAGGCGTCGGCTGCGCACGTCAGCAGCGGGGCCTGGAACACGCGCCGCTCGAGCTCGAGGAGCCTGTCTGCCGCCTCTGGGCCGCCCAGGTTCCCAGCGCGCAGCTCCTGGCGCAGCTCTTCCAGCTCGCCGCGGTAGAGGAAGGCGAAGCAGGGCTCGCGCCCGCTCAGGTGAGCGAGGCCTGCGCCGACGGTGGGCTCGCCTGCCTCCTCCCTGGCTGGCGGCGGTGGCGCCGCCTCCTCGGAGACTGCGAGGTGGACGGGCATCGGCCTCTCCACCGCCGCGGCGCGTCGCGGCGCGGCGGCGGCCGCGCCGCGCGCCTCCCGCGGCCGTGCCTTCCGCTTGACCTTCTCGCCGAGCTCCTCTGGCGCCGAGGCCAGCGGCGGCGGCGGCGCCGCGGCGCTGTCCCCGAGGCTCGGAAGCACTTGGACGGGCTCATCGGCGCCCTGCCCCTGGGTGGCCTGCCAGCCCTGCAAGCGCTCTGCCGCCTCCACGAGCGTGTCCGCGCGCCCCCGGAGCGCTGCGAACATCGGGTTCACCTGCAGTTCCCCAGCCAGGGTGCATGGCACGGTGGGCAACTTGTCGTGGAGCCTCCTGCGGTGCGCGACCAGGTAGCAGTCTCCGCACAGGGAGAGGAAATGCCCCGGTGGCACTTCGAAGAGTGCGCCCGACTGCGCCCTCTCCACCGCGTCGTCCAGCAACATCGAAGTGTACTCGTGCCCTGGGAAGAGCAGCGTGTGGCGCGGGTCGCACCTATAGAAGCCAAATGCACAGCATAAACCTAAGCATTCGACGGTCTGCGCGGATTTTTTGGATCTGCGCTGCACCCCCTCTTTACAACGCCGATCTAAGAACTCCTCGCGGAGCGCCGAACATTTCTGTTTATGCACTTTTCTTCCTCGAACCTCTGCAGGATGCTCCCGAAGCAATGCTGCATGTCCAGCTCCGAGCCCTCGAAAGGGGCGCCGCAGCCGCCAGAGAACAGACAGTCGCCGGTGAACAGCGCCTCCGCTGCGCCCGCGCCGCCCGCGAGCCCGCGCACGCAGAAGGCCATGCTGCCCGCAGTGTGCCCAGGAGTGGCCAGGGCCTCGAACTCGAGCCCCGCGGCGTGGAACCTCTCGCGGGGCAATAGTTCGCGGGCGACGAACATTATTGTGCAAGGTAGCCAAAGGCGACTCAAGTCCGAAATGACGCTCATCATTATGAACACAGACCGAGCTCTCGAGCCATGGCAACTCTGCCAATCCGCTTACCGTCTCTGGGCATGGCCTGCTTAGAAGACAGCGGCTGCGTACTGGCCCTCCGTATCCGCGGCCTCGTGGGCCGAGCCCCTGGGCCGCGACCTCGTGGACACGGGGCGCTTTCCACGGATGCCCCGCGCAGAACGTCTCCGCGCGACCGCGCATCGGCGGGATCGCGCCCCGGATCCAGACTGCGAGGGCGCGGATACGAGCATGCTCGCCGCCCGTGCGCAGCAATCAAAAAGGGGCACTGCCGGGGCAAACGGATTAACCCAAAGCGTCGGGGACCCGAACTGCCCGGCTTCGTGAAGTAGGCACACGGCTTCGTGGAGAGACCACGGCGGGACCACGCCAGATTTCCTGAGGTGGACCGACTCGGGGGTGTCCGTGGCCCGACCCGCCTGCCGTGCCTCTTTTGCGATGGCCGATGCCAGATGCTGGTGGGCTTCTGCTGGGCTTTACCAGAATGCCAGCGCGTGGACAACAGTCCGTTGTTTCGAGTAGCAATGCGTTTGGGGCTCTGTCTGTCAACACCTCATGTGGAACCCGATGCTTGTGGAATCCAATATGCACGGAAGGGCCATAGGAATCCAGGCGACCATCGGAAAGTGCGACACCAAGGGCAAGGGCCGAAGAACCCATAGGAAACCCATAGGTGCCCATATTGAGGAACTCGTAGGAGCCCGACCGGCCACCAGAGAGTGCGATAAACAGGAACAGTGGGCAGGGAAATGCGCGCATAGGAGCCAAAATGGACACATGACGGTGCGACTCACACACACACACATGCACAGCACTTCAAGGACAAGCGATGCTTTGGTAATCCCACCAACGCTCTGGGCGTAGGTGGTCTGAGGGTGTTTTTCCTCTAATATCCGCCGGCCCCTTTGTGTGGCCACCAGGCTGTATGACGAAGTGTGCTGCTCCCTGCACCAGTTGCAGTCTCAAGTCTCCAACGTTAAAGTCCTGCTTTCTGCTTCCTACTGTAAATTGTTGAAGTCCGCGCAAACCACCCAGTTACCACGTCTGGATTGCGTTGTCTGAATTGCCGGGGGGGCGTGGGAGACAAAATAATACATGAGATTTGCGCCCACGAAGCCATTATCTGTGTGAATTACTGAATGTTCGCGTCCCCGAAGCCACACAACCTCGTCTATTACACAATTCTTGTGTCCCCGGGGCAACAAACCCTCGTACATTGCACAATATCCGCGTCCCCCGAAGCCATAAACCTTCGCAGATTACACTGGGGGCCCATGCCAAGAAACACCCTGCTTGCCACCAGGGTGCCCTGGGTTTCTTGGATTTCGATGGCTCTGATATGGAAGGTGTGACGCCCCCACACCAAAAATCAATGGATGTCCTTGGGCTTCAGGGATGGGTTTCTCGTAAAAAGTTTCTTGTGGTCGGGCTCCTACTGTACGCCGTATTCGCATTGCCGAGGTCGAGAATGCGCCAAGGCGCCCGAAGATGGCTCCAATACGGCCCCAGAAGGCCCAAAGAGGCCCCAAGAGCGCTTCAAGAGGCCTCCCGAGAGAGCCCCAAGAGGCCAACATCGTAGATGTTACATAATGATTTTTGAAAGACTTTGGCCTTCTTGCGTTTTCGGCTTTCCGACGCTCCAAGCTGGCTCAAAAAACTCCCCAAACCGCCCCGAGACAACCCAAGACGCCTCCAAGAGGGCACCAAGACGGCCCAAGAGGGCTCCAAGATGGCCCAAGAAGCGCTCAAGACGGCCCACGGGGGCCCCAAGACGGCCTCAAGAGGGGCCCAAGCGGGGGACCACGAACCGAACATTCGATACTTGTGCCCCCAAAAGTCCCCAGGAGGCCCCAAGAGGTCGCCAAGAGGCCCCCAGAGGCCCTAAGAGGCGCCCAAGACGCGCCAAAGAAGCCTCCGAGAGGCCCCAAACATACCCCACGAGGCCCCAAGAGGCCCCCAAAAGGCGCCCAAACCGCCTCCAAGAGGCCCCCGAGAGGCTCCCTACGACACCCCAACACGTATACAAGAGGCCTCAGACCCACAACCCAAGTACGGTGGCGGGATGGGCCGCAGGCCACCAAGATCCGCCGCCCCCTGTCGATTCATCGCAGGGGTGCCTGGCGTGCCAGATCATGTGGGTTTTGGTTTTGGTTTTTTCCCAACCATCCTGTGGTGTTGGGTCCTCGTTTTGAAGAGACAGCGCCCCGCGTTCACTCCTTCCTTCCTCCCGCTGCCCCCTCACTCTGCCCCGCCCCTCCTCCCACTATCACAGCACACCCCTCACACGTTTCGTGGCCCCATAGGGAGCCCCACCGAGGGCCTCAGTGGCTGCGTTGGCATGGCGGCACCGCGCCCATGTCGGCACACCCCTCACACGTTTCGTGGCCCCATAGGGAGCTCCACCGAGGGTCCCAGTGGCTGCGTTGGCATGGGGGCACCGCGCCCATTTCGGCACACCCCTCACACGTTTCGTGGCCCCATAAGGAGCTACACCGAAGGTCCCAGTGGCTGCGTTGGCATGGCGGCACCGCACCCATTTCGGCACACCCCTCACACGTTTCGTGGCCCCATAGGGAGCTCCACCGAGGGTCCCAGTGGCTGCGTTGGCATGGCGGCACCGCACCCATTTCGGCACACCCCTCACACGTTTCGTGGCCCCATAGGGAGCTCCACCGAGGGCCCCAGTGGCTGCGTTGGCATGGCGGCACCGCACCCATTTCGGCACACCCCTCACACGTTTCGTGGCCCCATAGGGAGCTCCACCGAGGGCCCCAGTGGCTGCGTTGGCATGGCGGCACCGCACCCATTTCGGCACACCCCTCTCACGTTTCGTGGCCCCATAGGGAGCTGGCCCCAGTGGCTGCGTTTGGCACACCCCTCACATCGTGGCCCCATAGGGAGCTCCACCGAGGGCCCCAGTGGCTGCGTTGGCATGGCGGCACCGCACCCATTTCGGCACACCCCTCACACGTTTCGTGGCCCCATAGGGAGCTCCACCGAGGGCCCCAGTGGCTGCGTTGGCATGGCGGCACCGCACCCATTTCGGCACACCCCTCACACGTTTCGTGGCCCCATAGGGAGCTCCACCGAGGGCCCCAGTGGCTGCGTTGGCATGGCGGCACCGCACTCATTTCGGCACACCCCTCACACGTTTCGTGGCCCCATAGGGAGCTACACCGAGGGCCCCAGTGGCTGCGTTGGCATGGCGGCACCGCGCCCATTTCGGCACACCCCTCACACGTTTCGTGGCCCCATAAGGAGCTCCACCGAGGGCCCCAGTGGCTGCGTTGGCATGGCGGCACCGCAACCATTTCAGCACACCCCTCACACGTTTCGTGGCCCCATAGGGAGCTACACCGAGGGCCCCAGTGGCTGCGTTGGCATTGCGGCGGCGCGCCCATTTCGGCACACCCCTCACACGTTTCGTGGCCCCATCGGGAGCTCCACCGAAAGCCCCAGTGGCTGCGTTCGCATGGCGGCACCGCACCCATTTCGGCACACCCCTCACACGTTTCGTCGCCGAGGGCACAGGACAGCGTTTCGTGGCCCCATAGGGAGCTCCACCGAAAGCCCCAGTGCTACCGCCCGCATGCGTCCCGTACGCCCAGGACAGCGCTTCGCGGCTCCATACGGAGCTCCACCAAAGGCCCCAATACTACCGCCCGCATGCGTCCCGTACGCCCAGGACAACGTTTCGTGGCACGCCTTTCGTGGCCCCATAGGGAGCCCCACCGAAAGCGGCACCCACAAAGCGATATTCACAATTGCATATGGTTGGGTCCTTCGCCAGAATAATTTTCCCAACCATCCTGTGGTGTTGGGTCCTCGTTTTGAAGAGACAGCGCCCCGCGTTCACTCCTTCCTTCCTCCCGCTGCCCCCTCCCTCTGCCCCCTCCCTCATCTCACTATCACAGCACACCCCTCACACGTTTCGTGGCCCCATATAGGGAGCTCCACCGAGGGCCCCAGTGGCTGCGTTGGCATGGCGGCACCGCGCTCATTTCGGCACACCCCTCACACGTTTCGTGGCCCCATAGGGAGCTCCACCGAGGGCCCCAGTGGCTGCGTTGGCATGGCGGCACCGCGCCCATTTCGGCACACCCCTTCAGTTTCGTGGCCCCACAGGGAGCTCCACCGAGGGCCCCAGTGGCTGCGTTGGCATGGCGGCACCGCACCCATTTCGGCACACCCCTCACACGTTTCGTGGCCCCATAAGGAGCTCCACCGAGGGCCCCAATGGCTGCGTTGGCATGGCGGCACCGCACCCATTTCGGCACACCCCTCACACGTTTCGTGGCCCCATAGGGAGCTCCACCGAGGGCCCCAGTGGCTGCGTTGGCATGGCGGCACCGCACCCATTTCGGCACACCCCTCACACGTTTCGTGGCCCCATAGGGAGCTCCACCGAGAGCCCCAGTGGCTGCGTTCGCATGGCGGCACCGCACCCATTTCGGCACACCCCTCACACGTTTCGTCGCCGAGGGCACAGGACAGCGTTTCGTGGCCCCATAGGGAGCTCCACCGAAGGCCCCAGGACAGCGCTTCGTGGCTCCATGGGGAGCTCCACCAAAGGCCCCAGTACTACCGCCCGCATGCGTCCCGTACGCCCAGGACAGCGTTTCGTGGGACGCGGTTCGTGGCCCCCTAGGGAGCCCCACCGAAAGCGGCACCCACAAAGCGTTATTCACAATTGCATATGGTTGGGTCCTTCGCCAGGATAATTTTCCAAAAGAACTCCCCCTGGGGCTCCGGCGCGTCCCGCCGGGGTCCCGGGAGGATTGCCAAGGACCTCAATTCCCCAATTTCCTGCCCAAGACGGCTCCAAGATGGCCTCCAAGACGGCCAGGATGGCCTCCAAGACGGCTAAGATGGCTTTAAGATGCTCCAAGATGGCCCAAGATGTACCCAAGACGGCCTAAGATAGCCTCCAGATGGCCCAAGGCGGCCCAAGAGGCCCCTAAGAGGCCTCAAGGACACCCCAAGAGCCCGTCGAGAGGTTCTCCAGGAGGGCCCGAAGAGGCCAAAATCATTGATTTTCCTTAGGTTTTTGAATGATTTTGGCATTTTCGCCTGTTCGGCCTTCCGACGGCTCCAGACGGCCCAAGAGGCCCTCAAGATCGCCCAAGAGGCCCCCAAGAGGGCCCCATGACGGCCCAAGTGGCCTCCAAGAGGGCCCCAAGACGGCCCAAGAGGCCTCCAACACACCCAAAATGGCCTCCAAGACGCCCATGATGGCCTCCAAGACGGCCCCGAAGCGCCGCAAGAGGGTCCCCCGTTGGCACAGAAAGGCCCCCAAGACGGCTCCCAACGGCGTCAGACGTGCCAGGAACCCACCAAGATGGCCGAAGTTGGCTCGAAACCGGCCCAAGACGAGCCAAAAGGCCTCCAAGAGGGCCTCCAGGAAGGCCAGAAGATGCCAAAAACATTGATTTTCCTAAGGTTTTTGACGGATTTTGACATTTCTTTCTTTTCGGCCTTCCGACGGCCCGAGACGGCCCAAGAGCCCCCAAAGATCGCCGAAAGATCGCCCAAGAGGCCTCCAAGACGGCCAAGATGACCTTCAAGATGCCAAGATCGCCCAAGAGGCCTCCAAGAGGGCCCCATGACGGCCCAAGTGGCCTCCAAGACGGCCCCAAGAGGGCCCCAAGACGGCCCAAGAGGCCTCCAACACGCCCAAGATGGCCTCCCAAACGCCCAAGATGGCCTCCAAGACGGCCCCGAAGCGCCCCAAGAGGGCCCCCTGCCGGCCCAGAAAGGCCCCCAAGACGGCTCCCAACGGCGTCAGACGTGCCAGGAACCCACCAAGATGGCCGAAGTTGGCTCGAAGCTGGCCCAAGACGGCCCACGAGGCTCCCAAGAGGGCCTCCAGGTTTTTGACGGACTTCGACATTTGCTTCTTTTCGGCCTTCCGACGGCCCGAGATGGCCCCAGAGCCCCCAAAGATCGCCGAAAGATCGCCCAAGAGGCCTCCAAGATGGCCCCAGAACGGCCCAAGAGGGCCACAAGAGGCCTTGGAGCATTCCAAGAGGGCCCCAAGTCGGCCGATAGACGCCCCCCAAACGGCTTCCGACGGCGCCAGACGGACCAGGAGCCCACCAAGACGGCCGAACATGGCCCTAAGATGGCCCAGGACGGCCCAAGAGGCCTCCAAGAGGGCCTCCAGGAAGGCCCGAAAAGGCCAAAATCATTGATTTCCCATGGGTTTTTGAAGGATTGTGGCATTTGCTTTCTTTCTGCCCTCCGACGGCCCGAGACGGCCCAAGTGCCCCCAAAGATCGCCCAAGAGGCCCAAGACACGGCCCCAAGAGGCCCCCAAGACGGCCCAAGAGGTTTCCAAGACGCTCAAGATGGCCTCCAAGACGGTCCAAGAGCCCTCCAAGACGTCCTCCAAGAAGGCCCGAAAGGGTCAAAATGGGCTCCAGACTGCCAAGATGACCTTCAAGATGCCCACGTGTTCCCCGAAGGCTTTCCAAACCGATTCGGGGAACACATGGTCCGATAGCTTGGCAGGTCTGGCCTCAACGTTCGGCCACATAGGCGCTTCCAAAAAGGCAGGGGGCGGCGGTGATTCGCCGTAGGCGTCTTCGATCCGCCGCCCCCTTTTGATTCATCAAAGGGGTGCCTGGCGTGCTGAACTTCTTACGGTTTTGGTTTTGATTCTTTTCCAAAAGAACTCTCCCAATGGGCTCCGACGCGTCCCGCCGGGGTCCCGGGAGGCTTGCCCAGAGGTGGCTGCAAACGGGTTTCCTGCCCCTGACGGCCCCAAGACGGCCCAAGATGGCCTCCAGGATGCCTCCAAGACGGCCAAGATGCCCTCCGAGACGGCTAAGACGGCCCCAAGATGCCTCCAAGACGGTCCAAGAGGTACCCAAGACGGCCTAAGATAGCCTCAAGATGGCCCAAGACGGCCCAAGAGGCCCTCAAAAGGCCTCCAAGACGGCCCAAGAGGCCTCCAAGAGGTCCTCCAGGAAGGCCCGAAGAGGCCAAAATCATTGATTTTCCATAGGTTTTTGAAGGATTTTGGCATTTGCGCCTTTTCTGCTTTCCGACGGCCCAAAAGGCTCCCGAGATCGCCCACGAGGCCTCCAAGATGGCCCCGTGACGGCCCGAGACGCCCCCAAGACCGCCCCAAGGGGAGAAGGGAGGGGGCAGGAGGAAATCCCCAGGCAATTAAAACAGATTATCGTGTGGGGCCTTACCGTCGGAGTAATTCAGCTGCTTCAGAAAATATTGCCAAACGGGCTTCGCGCGAACGCATGCCGAAATCGTTCGAACGCCCCTTCGCGCGTGCCGTCGCGAAAACCCTTTGCACAATATGGGACGAAGTGCGCACGCGCGCGTCGTCGCGTGCACATGCCAAAATCCTGAAAAAGAGCCATTGGTTTTGGAGCGATTTCAAAACAAGTGTCCAAGCACATTCAAAAACACATGGTTTCGCAACATCAGATTTCATGCTTGCGCGCGCGCTCTTGCGAATTCTTAAGAATGCCGTCGGCTTTTCAAACTTTCATGGGGTACTGCCAAACGGGGCACCATCCGTGTCAAATAAGACCATGCGGGCCGCTCTCGCGCGTCGGCCGCGCGCGCATGTCGAACTCTTTCCAGAAACCTTCGTCACCGACGCGAAGACGCCGTCATCGTCGTCGGCGTGATTCGCATCGGCACCCGCACTGGCCGCGCTTTCATCGGTACGAACATCGTCACCAACAACGTTACTATCATCATCGTGTCTACCGTTGCCGGCGATGCCGTGATACCGCGCCCGCCCAACTCGCCGACTGGCAGTGAAGTGCCCCTGGGATGCGCCCAGCGGTCAGCGCCACCGCGGCCGCGTTGGTGGCGTCAAACTACTTGGCCGCTGCGCGCGCGTGCTAGGGTTGGCGCGGCCGCAGAGATGCACCAGTCAACGCCAAGCATGCATCGCAATCGCCACCGCATGGGTTTTGCAAACCAAATTGCGGGTGGGTGGGTGGGATGTTGCAAGAGCATGGGATGTGTTAACTCGTTTGTGAAAACCAATTGCACCACTTCGGCTGCACCACGTAGCTTGCACAACACACATGGAACCGCATACATTGCACCACGTGGATTGCAACACGTAAGTTCCACCACACGGACCGCACACCACATACGGCACCACGTAGTGTACAACATAGATGACCTCATATGAGTATGTAGTACATATATATATAAATATCTATATATATAGATATCGAGAGAGAGAGGAGATAGAGAGAGAGAGAGAGAGAGAGAGAGAGAGAAAAGAGAGAGAGAGAGAGAGAGAGAGAGAGAGAGAAAGAGAGAGCTAGAAACATACTGGACGGGGTCCGCGCTGGCTAACGTATGTATGTACATGCATCTATACGTATACCCAAATATTGCCTGACCGCCGACGCACCGATCCATTGGAGCGAGGTGGTGAGTCATGGGGATTTTTTGGGGCCGCTGTGAGGCTGTCTGGAGAGCCTGTCGGGTCGTTTTGGGGCTCTCTTGGGGCTGTCGTGGGGCGGTCTAGACGTCGGGGGGGCCTCTTGGGCCTCTTGGACCCGTTGTGCCCTTCTGCGCACCTCTTGGTTGCCTTATGGATCATCGTGGGGCGAGCTTGATGGTCTCGCGGACCGTTCTGGAGGCTGTGAAGACAGAGAAGGCGAGTGTGCCCAAGTCGTAAGGAATCAGTGTTGCTTTTGCCTTTCGGGGGCTCTCCTCAAATTCTCCCTGGCGGTCGACGGACCTGTTGTGCCGTCCCGCGGTCATCTTCAGCCGTTTGTGGTGACTCTTGGCTTTTTGTTGGCTGTCTTCGGGATCTCTTCGGGACATCTTGGGGCCTTCTTGAACCCTGCACAAGCGCGCCCGACTCAGGCACCCGGGACCATGCTCAAGTTGTGGATGAGGCGGTTTGTTTCAATGCATACAAGAATTCGTTTGGCGAGTACACCTTAGTGTTCATACGCATGCGCGCATGCGGATTAAGCATTTTCAAATGGCCACGGGCCTTTGCCCACTCTCCACCGCATGCGTGCGGCCAGGTATACTGTCGTCAAAGCCGCCATAGACCCTCAGCTCCTTGGGGGGGGCAGTAGAGAAGGAAGACGGATTGGGGATATGAGAAGAAGGGGGAGGAGAGGGGAATAACAAGAAGGGGTATCAGGACGAGGACGTGTATTATGATGGAACTGAAGGTGAACATGAAAATGACGATGCATATGCATATGCATATGATGATGATGATGATGATGATGATGATGATGGTGATGACGATGGTAAGGCTGACGGTGACGATGGTAATGATTATGAGGTTGATGCGGATGACGATGATGATGGCGATGCTGACGACTACCATGATGATGGTGCTGATGATGATGGAGCCACTGATGCTGATGATAATGGTGTGGATGATGATGATGATGATGATGATGATGATGATGATGATGATGACGGTGATGCTGCTGCTGATGATGATTATGTTGATGGGTATGGGGGGTGGTTATGATGATCATGATGGTGATGGTGACGATGACGAAGATTCGGATGATGCTGCTAATTCTGATGAGGATGGTACTCATAACGGGGATGACGATGCTGATGATGATGACGATGATGATGATGATGATGATGATGATGATGATGCTGATGTTGATGAGGATGATGATGATGATGATGATGATGATGATGATGATGTTGGTGTTGAGGATGATCATTCTGATGATGGTGATGGTGATGAGGACAACGCTGATGATGATTATGATGATGACGATGGTGTTGTTGTTGTTGTTGTTGTTGTTGATGGGGGTGAAGAGAAGGAGGAGGGGGAAAGAGAAGACGCGCACCTGAAACAACTGGCTGTCGTGATCTGTTCGCGGCATTAGAAGTATGGGTACCGCATCACCCCGGCTCCTCGGTGTAACGGAGGTGTGCCAGAGGCTCGGTCCCTTCGTCCCCTCCTGGCCGCCGTGCGGCGGAAGTGCGGCTGCGTGCCGACGCGGCCCACGAGCGCAGCTCAGTGTTGCCGCCCGCGTGGTCCCAGTGCTTGTGCGTGCACAGCACAGCCTCCGCCAGAGTAGCTGCGGCGCGGAAGGGAAGATGGATGTGGAGGTGGAAGAGAAAGGATAGTGGGAGGAGAATGAGGGGAAGGAAGAGGGGGCGGCGTTGAAAGACCAGGGTGAGGGGGGGGAGGGGTTGAAGGAGGATTTTTTCGCCATCAACGATGCCATCAACTCTAAGCGGGCGTGGCCAGCTTGAGCACCACGAAGACCTTGAGGAAAACCAGAAAACCTCGAGGCAAAAATACTGCACCGCGCCCTCGCCAACGTCATGCACGAGTGAAGGTATACCGAAGCGCGCCTCGAGCATATCGCATGAACGATGAAAGCCCCGCGGCCTGCATGACGCCGCACACCACCACTGGACCAGCACAAAGATGACGAACGGCCAGGCCACAGCAAGAACAACGCCGAAACCCCACGACCCGCCCAGTGCATACAGACAAATGAAAGTGCCGATACGCATCCGTGGATAAAGGCGTCACTCAACCAACACGCGATACGCCAGCACACTGTAAATACCCATCGGAAGTGGGGACGATTAATGCAAACCATCCCACACTTGCCAGATATGAGCAAGAGACATCTCCAGAACTGCAAAAATGGGCGGGACAAATGAAGCAGCGCCGAACCGAATAAACAAGCGCATGCGTCTGCCTTACTTACCCAAACGGGCCTGGGCCAGGCTCAGCCACACGAGGTCGCCGCCAGGGGCCCAGACAAGGAACGATGCGTTGACCACGAAGCCTACCCCGACGTAGAAGAAATCCGCCACCAACGCTCAAGCCAGCACACTTGTGGTGCAGCCTCGGGGCATTCTGGCGCAGGCAGTTAGCACACCAGAGCCAAAGCTGGTCTGAGCCGAGATGGGACTTGAGGGGGTTGAAGGAAAAGGAGGAAGAAGAGGAGGAGGAGGCGAAGGAGGAATTAGATGAGGCACAGCATGTTTTGGAGGAGTCACACTGTAGAAAACGAAGATAATTAGGATGATGACATTTGATGAAGACGTGCTCGGGCGCGCGTGTGGTGAGGCTTCAGGCGAAGCGGAATGGGTCGCCCCCTCCCCCGCCCCTCGCTGGCGCCCATCTCCGCGCCGTCGAGATCTGGCGCTTCCTGCTCACCAGCGAACTCCGGCGCGAGTGCCTCGCGCCGCCGTGGGCGACTTGGCGTGCAGCCTGTGGGCGACCGTGGGGCCGCCCGACATGAGACCGTGGGCGTGCGCCTGGCCGACATGAGACCGACCTCGGCGTCAAAGGCGAGCTGACAATCTCCGAGCAATGACATTTTTGATCCGCGGCGCCGTGGATCCAAGTTGCGGTCGTGGCTACGGCAGGGCTGCTGCGGTGAGACTTGGGCACGAAGCGGCAAGGAAGGATGAGAGGGAAGGGGGGAGAGGGCCGCGGACGGCTGGAGCGCCTTCAGAGCGTGAAGCACTTCGGGTTGTGCTGGAGGCAGGCTCAGGTCCTGGCGAGGGGATCTGAATCCGCCGCCTGCCTCCTCCACGTGGATCTCCGGGGCACTGCAACGCTCGCAGAAGTGGAGGGGCATCTCTGCAGCGGTGCACAGCGGGCAGCGGGGTGCGTGGGGTAGAGTCGCTGAGTCAGGCCCGCGGGCCCGCGTTGAAGCGGGCGCGCAGCCGAACGAGTCGGCGACCCCCCGCGAGGGCGTGCCCATGGCCGTGTGCCAGCGCTGCTTCGGAAAGTCCCTCGCCGGCAGCGCGCCATGCAGCCAGCCGCGCTGCCGTTATCCCGCCGCCTGCCCGAAGGCCGCATGTGGACCTGCGGGCGTTGCTTCCTTCGGGAGCGGAAGCGTGCCTTCGAGCTCGGCGTGGACGAGCGGTCCGCGAGCGAGGGGCGGGCTTGTCGCGGCGGTCGTGCCGTTGCCTCTCCGCCCTGCTGCAGCCGCGGCAGCCGCGGTGCGAGCCACAGCGCGGGCACGTTCCGATGCCGGGGTGAAGGCTAGCGACTCCACAGGTAGCGCGACTACCTCCCTGTGGAGGCGGCAGCGGCAATCACCATCCACTCAAGGGCGAAGTACGGTGAGGGCATTGGATAATGAACTGGGTCAAGAATCCAGGGTCTGACACTCGGTGGAACTCCAATCGTGGATTGACCTTGGATATCTCCGCCGCCCTGATCAGATGAGGAAGCCTCCATGATCTGAAGCCTGCTGGACGCATTCCTTAACGAACGCCCCTCGGCTGCACGCAAGAGTGACCCGAAGCGAGAATGGCCTTTGATGCGCGGCTTTAGGGTGCCGCGGGTGGGTCAACTCCAAGCGCGCAGGCCAGTGCTAGGGGGACCACCATGAGCCCGCGCCCAAGGTCACGCCAACGAAGGGTCACTCTTACTCGAAGTCAAGCCCCTGCCGTAGGGGCAAGGCAGGGCCCGCCGCGGCAGACCTGCGCGTCGCCGCGCGCCGCCGCCCATCCGTATCAGCCTTGGCACGCGGCGCCCTCAGGTGAGGCCAAGAGCTGGCCATGATAATGATCATGATGAAGAGGGGGAGGAGTACGAGGAGCATGATGCTGAGGGTGATGAGAATAATGATGCTGATGATGGTGATGATGATGCTGATGCTGATGATGCTGCTGCTGACGATGCTGCTGATGATGATGCTGGTGATGATAGTGATGGTAATGATGCTGATAATGCTGTTGATGATGAGGACGCGACGATTGTGATGACGACCATTCTGATGGTGATCGAGGAAATACGAACAAGGATGCTGCTTCTAATGAAGGTGAGGCTGATGATGATGAGGATGATGATGTCGATCAGGCTGATGCTGATTATGATGATCATGCTGCTGATGATGCTGATGAGGGTGATGATGATGCTGCTGATGATGATGTCGAGGAGGATACTGGCAGTAATGATGGTGGCGATGACGACGACGACGATTCTTTAGATTCTGATGGGAATGACACTGGAATTCTGGGGGCGCCATCCGAAGGGAAGCTAAAAGAGGAACCAGCACCCCGAAAGTTTGCACCCCCGGTGTGACAATCTCCCCGAGGGCCTACAAGATGATCGCGGGGCCACGAGCAGCTGGTCACAGCTTACGGGAGCTACGATGACGGGAAGGAGGATTGGGATGGGGCAGGCGAGGAGTAGCCGCAGGAACATGAGAAGCATCGGGAGGTGGAGTCACGCCTCGAGAACCAATCCACCGAACGCGGCGTAGAGACCCGTGCTGAGGGCTTCCACCAACTCTATGACGGCGGCCGCATCGCAGGGGTCGACCAAGCAGCACCTCAGGCCAGACTTGTCGTGCCTGTCAGAGTTCGCAAATCACGCACCTGTCTACTTGACCTTCCCACCAGGGTTGGGAAGGCGATGGGATTTGGGGGAGGGGAAGGGGAGGAGGATAAGGATGCGGAGTGGTAGTGGTAGAAATTGGACAACTGTTTCGGTCAGCCCCCATCTGCGGTACATTCTTGTCTCTTGCCCTGTACACATGCGGCATGCTGGCGCGCCCAGCCATACGGGGTCACTGCTTTGGAAGGCATGTGGCCACATGTGTGTAGAGCTCTTGCCCAAGTCGGCCACGCCATTTATGCCCCACTTCTTGATGAGCCTCGCTGGAAGATGGCAGGGTTGAAAACAAGGCAGGGATGGCGGCAGCCACACCAGACAACTTGCCAGTGGGATGTGCAGCGGCCCATGACTCAAAGCACGGCGGAGGGATGGGGGGGGAAGAGACGGAGGAAGAGAAGAGACCCAGACACGATCTCCTGCGGCCGCATTGGATTTTTGATCGCGAATGGAATCCTGGAGCTGCGGTCCCAGGCGCGCAAGCAAACAATCCCCCCCTCCACAACCTCCCTCTTCTTCTTCTTCCTCCTCCTCCTCCTCCTCCTTCTCCTCCTCGTCTTTCATCCTTCTGAGGCTTTGTCCCCTCGTCGAACCACACGGTGGGCTGGTGGGACGGCCAGGGCGTTTTGTGTGTACCCCATACATAACATGTCAAACCTTGCGCGAGTGACGGCGGGCCGTTTTCAAACTATGACCCTAGTGACCGCAGCGCCGCGCATATCCCGTTGACAACTTCCACGGATGGAGGGCGGGCCATTGTCGAGATCTGGCTCTCGCCGCTGTGCCGCACGCTCTCGCCTGAAACCTTGCAACAATCATGGACACGCGGTGAGGGCAGGTGCTCTTCAGAATCTGGCTCTCGCCTCCACGCGGCGCACATTCGTCTTGAACGTGTTCAGCAATTGCACGGATGAACGATGGTCGCTCCCAAGATCTGGCTCTCGCATTAGAACCGTGTGCATTCGCCTGGATAGCTTGCAACGGTTACAAGGATGGGTGGCGTTCTGTAGAAACGACGTGGCTCTCGCCTTGCCGCCGTGCGCAATGGTCTGAATAGCTAAGGGATGGAGGCATTCATTTTCAACATGTGGCTCCCACCTTATCCCTCCTTTTACGCACTCGGATTCTTACGAAAAGGGAAATTGGGACGGCAGGGTGTGCTGCAGCCTGAGTGAAGTGTACTGGGCTCACTCTGGCCCTTACCCCTCCTGCAACTTCTCCCTCCTTCCCTCCTCCTCCCTCCTCCCTCCTACCTCACCCCTCCTCCCACCTGCTCCTCCTTCTCCTTGGCGTCCTGCTCCATCTGCTACCTCCTCTTCCTGCACGCCCCAATGACCAAAGCACTCCCAGGGCGCCTCCTCAGGTTCGCTGCTGGTGCCCTGGAACAGACAACCAACGAAGCAACAGACACCGAACAGGTGGAGGAGAAGGATGGACAATGAGGAAGGTGAGATGAAGGAGTGAGGAGGGAGCAGTAGGAGGACGGGCTGGGGAGGAGATGGATGATGATAATGCGGCGGGCAAGGAGGATTAGGAGGAGGAGGGGGGGGGGAGGACGAGGAGGTGAATGTGGAGGAATATGCACATGCTGGTGGGAGGAGGAGGAGGAGGCAGAGGAGGAGGATGAGGAGGAGGAGGAGGGGAGGAGGCGGAGGAGGAGGAAGAGGAGGCGGAGGAAGAGGAGGCGGAGGAGGAGAAGGCGGAGGAGGAGGAGGAGGAAGGAGGAGGAGGAGGAGGAGGAGGAGGAGGAGGAGGAGGAGGAGGACGAGGCGTGTGAGCAATAGTATGAGAATCTGCAGATCGTGGGTAGGGATGATCACTGTGATGATGTTATCGGAAATGGCGATGGTGGCGACGCTGGTTCTGATGATGGTGGCGATGATGCTGATGCTGATCATGATGACGAAGATCGGAGATGAGGAGGGCAAGGATGATGATTATGACAGAGCAGGTGAAGGAGGCTGACGCGGACGAGGAGAAGGAAACATGGGGTGTGTGGGCGCTACCCCTCTGCCCTGGGAGCCTGCGCTCCCCTTCCGCCCCCTTCGGGGCGTCGACGAGCAGATACGCGTAGTTGTTCGTCAGGCATGGCACGGGGTGCACGAAACAGGCGCCGCCCGCCTCCAGGTCGAGCCGAGCCCGCAGGTCCAGACACCTGCTGTGGTACGGCCGCCGCGAGATGCGGCGCTGCACGAACCGCTCGATCGCCACGTGGAGCCTGCAGACCCTGAGGGAGTACGCGTACTCCACCACGTACCCGAAGCTCCTCAGCGCGGGCACCATCAGCAGGCCCACCAGCTGGCCCAGCAGCTGCACGACGAGCAGCACCAGCCCGACCGCCAGGAGGTACAGCAGCAGCGCCAACGACCCCGCGACTCCCAGCAGCTGCCGCAGCCGTGGGCAGCAGGGGGGCGTTCTCGGCCGCAACCACGGCGCCAGCGCCCTCCTCTCCTCCATCGCGCCCGCCGCGGCGCGGGCACCACCGCGCGGCGGGGGCGCGCGGCGGGCCAGCAAAGGCTGCTGCAAAGACGCGCCGGGGATGGCCTCCCCGGGCGCGGGCGCGGCCGACCTGGAGTGGGCTGCCGGCTGCTCGTGGCGGGGAATTGCACCCCGCCGGCGACGCGCCCGCTCCCCCCTCGGCAGGAGCAGCGGGGCCGAAGGGCGCGCGGCCAAGCTCGAATCACGACGGCTGCCACTGCCCTCTGCTGCTGCCGTCAATGCCACGGCTGCCGCTCCTACCATCTTCGTAGCTGAGGTAAGAGTACACCGCGACGCAGCAGCCACGACCACTACCACCACTACCAACACCACTGGCTTTGACAATGACAATGCCACTTCCACTGTTGCTGCCACTGACGCTGCCATTACCAATGTCAACAACAATGCCACCACCAAATCAGTAACCTCTATCACGACCAGCGTCCGTACCAATGTCACTGCTCTTGCGCCGCTGCCGTGATGTTATCACTAACACTACGATTGTCACCAATAGAAATCGTACTACTACTAGGCATGGGACTCCCGTGGGCCACTCTCTTGGCCAAATTTCATGGTGGGTTGCTCTTGCTCCTGCTCCTCCTGTTTGTCTGCATGCATGTCCTCCTCTTTGTTTGCATTGCATTGCATTGCAGACGCATAGCGTTGCAATCGCACTCTTCCCTCCCATCCTCGCAACAGGACCCCTTTGGAAAACATTCCAAAGGGATTCCAGTGGAACGCCTCACAGCAGGAATCCTTTGGAAACCGCAACAAAGGGATTCGATTGGAAAGCGCCACACAGGGATGTGGGAAGCGAAAAACCAAAAAAACACAAGGAAAAACCAAAAAAAACAAAGAAACCAAACACCAACAGCCGAAAAACCAAAAAAACACAAGGAAAAACCAAAAAAAACCAAAAAAACCAAAGTTTACAACACTTTCGCTGTCAGGGCGGTGGGGGTGGACGAAGTATCGAAATCTTTGTTTTTTTTGTTTTTTTTGGTTTTTCCTTGTGTTTTTTTGGTTTTTCGGCTGTTGGTGTTTGGTTTCTTTGGTTTTTTTGGTTTTTCCTTGTGTTTTTTTTGGTTTTTCGCTTCCGCCACCCCTCCCCCTGGGGAGCGGGCGGCTCCAGGAGGCCCCAGGAGGCCCCAGAGAGGCCCCAGAGAGGCCCCAGGAGACCCCTGGAGGAGACCCAGGAGGGAACCCAGGGGCATCGCAAATTCAATGTCCCTTCGATGCCCCTCCCCTCTCCTCACCTCTCTCTCCCTCAACCAAGTTTTCTGGTTACCCTCTCTTTCGTGCCCGCCATCCCCTTCCCGCGACGGCAGCAGACTCAAGGCCCAGCTGGTTGCTGAGGATGGGTGCCTTTCGGGTGCCTTGCGGGTGCCTTGCGGGTGCCTTAGCAATTAGCGGAGTGCATTGCGAGTATACACGTGCCGCGCAACTCCCCAAATATACCATTCAGAAGGGGGAAACGCTCGAGAATTTTTTTTTTTGGGTTTTTTTGTTGTTGCCGTTGCATATGAACGGAAAGCGAAGCATTTCTCGTTAAGTGCAAAAATCAGATTTGAAGAAGTATCATAATCATTATGACGTTGTGCATTTTTACTATCGGCGTCGACCCCCGAATTCTGAGGATGGGTGCCTTTCGGGTGCCTTGCGGGTGCCCTTCGGGTGCCTTTCGGGTGCCTTGCGGGTGCCCTCCGGGTGTTTTTCGGGAGCCGTGCGGGAGCACTTCGGGTGCTCTTCGGCCGTCTTCGGGTACCTTTCGGTAGCCAGCAAGGGGCTTGGGAGGAGGCGGAAGAGAAACCCAGGATCCCAAGAGGAACCTAGGAACCCAGGAGGAACCGAGGAACCCAGGAACCCAGGAGGAACCCAGGAACCCAGGAGAAATCCAGGAACACAGGAGGAACCCAGGAACCCAGGAACCTTGGAGGAACCCAGGAAACCAAAAGAAACCCAGGAGGAACCCAGGAACCCAGGAGGAACCCAGGAACCCAGGAGGAACCCAGGAACCCAGGAGGAACCAAGGAACCCAGGAACCCAGGAGGAACCCAGGAACCCAGGAGAAATCCAGGAACACAGGAGGAACCCAGGAATCCAGGAACCTTGGAGGAACCCAAGAAACCAAGAGAAACGCAGGAGGAACCCAGGAACCCAGGAGGAACCCAGGAACCCAGGAGGAATCCAGGAACCCAGGAGGAACCGAGGAACCCAGGAACCTAGGAACCCAGGAGGAACCCAGGAACCCAGGAACCCAGGAGAAACCCAGGAACACAGGAGTAATCCAGGAATCCAGGAATCTTGGAGGAACCCAGCGTTTCCTGACCCCCCTCGCTGCTCGTAGCTGTTTGGGCCCAATCGCAACGCCGAGCGTGCGCCTTCTGGCAAACCCTCAGCGTCATTCAAGACCGCGGCATGGCCGCTTACGAGGACCTGAAATCGGCGACCGAGGGCTGGTATTGCCGCCCTCTTCCTGCACCAATGGTAACGGGCGTGCTGCCCCGTGGAGAAATCGAGCCTTTTCTCGAACTCACGGACGACATCGGGGCCAACGAGAACCCACTGGTGCACTACATTGATTTCATCACGGGGCATAGAGACCCAGTCCCCCCCGAGCTCGACGAGCAATACAAGGCGGCCTGGAAGGACGACAGCTACCACAATCTGCCGCCACCGTTCGGGTTCAAGACGGCGCCGCAACACCACATGACGCTGCAGATTTGTATCCTTGACGCCCCCGACGGCACGAAGACCATAATCAAACACTGCGTCATCCCCAACAAGGCGAAGACGGCCGTCTTCGCCAGCATGGCTTTCGGGAGCGTCAAGAAGCTCTGCTTCCAGCATCCCAAGGTGCACGATTGGGGAAACAAAAGGGTGGCGAGGGCGCGGCGCCCTCGCCATTTTGTTTTTCGATCGCGCCGCCAGGTGGGGGTCAAGGTCTGGCAATACGCCTTCGAGCGGTTCGGAGGCAAACAGTGTCGGGCTTTCTTCTTATCGCCAGACGTCAAGACGGCCACCAAGGTGAACGAGTTCTACGAGCTCTCGGACGAGGATATAAACGCTGGCTTCGAATACATCCTGAAGAACGCGCCTCGCTCCACGGCCGAGCTCAAGCAGCTGGTATGGCAGACGAAGGCGCTACGCAAAGGCGCCCCCCTCTACGGCTGGCCCGTCCCCCTGGTGGCGAAGGCGTTGAGCGGGCTCGCGGCGGAGGGCGCGCTTGCAAAGAAGGAGTTCGAAAACAACGTGATCCTCTGCGAGGACCACTTCAACCTTCGCGCTCTCGAAGCCATGCAGGAGCTGATCAACAGCAACGATTCGCTTGTCCTCATTGGGGGGCCCAACATCGGCAAGACGCCGCTCGGGCGCGCATTCCTGATGGCAATGTGCCGCAGGAACGCGCGGGTCCACGGATTGGACCCCGCGGGTTGTTGCATCCGCGTCACGCCTGAGATCGATTTCTTGCGAGGCGAGCCCGGCGACATTCTCATGGGGGACTTTGTGGACGATGGCTGCTTGAATCTCCTCCCGCCCAAGATGGTGAAGGCCTTGCTCGACGTCGGCCAGTACGAGAGCATGTGCTGGGCCAGGTGGGGCGCAACGAAATGGAAGAAGGGGGAGCCTCGGTGCTTGGCGGACCAGACTTACGATCCGAATGCCGAGAAGCTGGACCGCTGGCCCTCCGTGAAGTTCCAGGAATTCTTCGAGCTCGTGCGCCCTGCCTTCTCCGAGAAGGCGACCCGCGCATGCATGCTGGCTTTCTTCAAGCGTTCTGCGTTTCTGGTGAATACCCAGGAATACCTCTACTGGCGCCCAGCAGGCACTGAGGAGAAAGATGTTCCGCGCATTAACTTCAAGGGCGAGACCTTCCTGACGGCCGAGGGGAAGCGCCTGTACCTACTGCAGAAGGACGGCGACATGACCCCGCCCGCCAATATCCAGCAGCTCTTGGAGAAGGAGCGGCTCCTCGTGGACTCCGCCGTGGAGAAGAACCGCAAGAAGTCCTCAGACGCGGCCCTCGGTTCTTTGCCAGCCCCGTCGTTCGTCCAGGTTTGGGGGTTCAAAGATGCGGCCCTGCGGGGTGGGGTCCTAGGGCTGAGGGAGCACTTCAACGCGTTCTGAACGCTGAAACGCTGCCTCGGCCTTGGCGGACATCATCTTTGAGCCCCTCCCGACAGGTGAAGCGAGAGCGCGTGTCCCCTGAGCGCCTGACGTTTCGGAAGCGCCTGCTCTCGGGGATGACGCTCAATGTCGACAGCCCGTCCCCCGCCAAGCAACATGCCGCGGCGTCGTCCACTGCATCTGGGCCCGCGGCCCCGCCCCGCGACGATCTCGAGGTCCAGCTCTCGCAGATGCTGGCCGAGGAGGGGGCGCCCGCTGTGCCTGCGATGCCCTCGGCTGCGGAGGAGGACGAGGCGCACGCTTTCCTCGGTTCTCAGAGTCAGGAGTGAGCGGGCGGCCGCGAGAGCGCGGGCGGGCAGGTGCGGCGCGCGGGTTTCGCGGGCAGCGATGGCACCCTCAGCTCGGGCGCTGATGCCGCGCGCGCTGCCGAGGTGGCGCGCGCCGCTGCGCCCCAGATGAGCTGGGGGCGCGCGCCGCCAACATGTTGTGTCTTGATAGGGTTATCCACAAGTACCGCGCGTTATCATGCCATTTTCTTTTGCCGTTCTAAGAAATCCAGCCGCCCCCGCAGACGTCGTCGTCGTCGCCGCCGCCGCCGCCATCGCCGTCCATCCGGTATGGTTGCTGTCATCGCCGCAGCCGTTTCTTGGCCGAATCGGCAGCCAGAGCCGCGGGTGCCCGCGCCTCTCGCGCACTGCCTCGCCCGTGCTATCGCGCCTGGAGCCAGGGATGACCGTCCACCGTCGCCCCGCCGCCTCCGAGGCCAGGGGTCGAAGCCGCACGCGAGGGCAGCGCTTCCCCCAGAAGCGTCGCAACAAGCGGTCGGTGCAGGCCGCCTCGCGCCGCCGCGACATTTTGGCCAAGGCGCGGAAGGCGCGCAAGGCGGCCCAGGCCAAACGCAAGCGCTTGGAAGCCACGGGCGTGTTCTACACGCCCAAGCGCCAGCGGGTGTCCCGCGTGCGGCGCGGCAGGTCTTCCTTAGCCAAGATCTACACGTACGAGGACCTCAGGGCTCTGAAGACCAAGGATGCTTACGACTTGATGGTCCAGGCGGGGTACCTCGGCGACCCCTCCGAGAACGTTTGCCCCAGGTGCGGATGGCCATTGGGTTCGGTGATTCACAGGGGCGAGAAGCGGCATCCAGTCCAGAGGTGTCAGCGCAAGGCCTGCTCGTCGTCCTCGGTGCAGGTGAAGGTCACGAGCGGCACGTGGGCGGATGTGGAAGTGCCTCTCCCGAAGCTGGCGGGCGTCGCCTTCCTGTCGTGCGGCGCCCTGACGTCCCGCATGAGTACAGCCGACATGGCGCTGATTGCCAAGATGGGCCACAAGCAGTGCGAGGCGGTCAGGCAGAGTTTGCTGGAGATCGTCTCGGCTGCTTCGAGGGAAGAGCAGAAGTCGATCGTGCTGAGCGGCCAGTGCGAGACCGACGCCACGACCCTGCGGGTCGTCCAGCTCAAGAACGGGCGCAACATGCACATCCGCGTGTTCGGCATGTGCAAGCGCGGAGACCACGAACACGCCGTCGTGCACATGCTGCCGCCCTTCTATGCGGTCCGTGGCGGCCCGACGCGCCCCGAGAGCACGGATGAGACCGCGCCGCTGATCTCAGCTCACACGGGGGCCGACGTGCTGATCTGGCACACAGACGGAGCGCGGTGCTACCGCCGCCTCGAGAACCACACGAAGGTCAAGCACGCCAAGCGCATCTGGGCGACTGTCAAGACGCTGACCCTGAGCGGGGGCGACGTCCTGTGCTGCTACGGCGGGACGCAGCTCCAGGACGGGCTGTGGTCGCACGTGAAGAACGTCGTCCCAACCACGATGAACACGTACAGCAAGGAGTCGCAGGCGCAGCTCGAGAACTGGGTGCACTTCTGGGCGTGGCGCTACAGGCGCGCCAGCTGTCCAGATATGTTTCTCGAGCTCGGCTCGGCCGTCGCCATGGCCAGGTTGAAGGGCCACGTCTGGTGAGAACCTGCCTGTGCGCTAGAGGGGGCCGCATGTGTAAATAATCGCCATCGGCCGAGAGGACAGGGGGGGGGAACCTGTCTGGCGAGGACCGCGGATAAAAAATAATCGTCAGCGGCCGAGAGAGAGAGAGAGAGAGAGAGAGAGAGAGGGAGAGAGAGAGATGGATATACGGAGCACGGAATAGAAGAGAGAGAAAGATATACAGAGAGAACGAGAGAGAGAGAGAGAGAGGGAGGGGGAGAGGCGCCATGAAATTTGGCCAAGAGAGTGGCCCACGGGAGTCCCACGGCTACTACTACTACTACTACTACTACTACTACTACTACTACTATTATTACGACTACGACTACTACGACTACGACTACGACTACGACTACGACTACTACTACTACTACTACAACTACTACTACTACTACCACTACTACTACTACTACTACTACTACTACTACTACTACTACTACTACTACTACTACTACTACTACTACTACTACTACTACTACTACTACTACTACTACTACTACTACTACTACTACTACTACTACTACTACTACTACTACTACTACTACTACTACTACTACTACTACTACTACTACTACTACTACTACTACTACTACTACTACTACTACTACTACTACTACTACTACTACTACTACTACTACTACTACTACTACTACGACCACGACCACGACCACGACTACGACTACGACTACGACTACGACTACGACTACGACTACTACTACTACTACGACGACGACGACGGCGACTACTACTACTACTCCTACTACTACTACTACTACTACTACTGCTACTACTACTACTACTACTACTACTGCTGTTCCTAAAATACGACAGCAACAACTACTACTAGTACGATTACTGCCAGTGTTATTGTCATTCTTATTCGTATTCTTACTAACATCACTACTAATATTACGATTACGATTGCTATGACGATCATTTTTTATTACTGCTATTACTACTCGGGTTGACCGTAATCAATGCGACCGATTCCACATAATGGTAATTGGTATGGATCCAGGTGCGGAAACGTGAGCACAATCCGCAACGAAGGTTATTCTAAAATGGACGTGTGATATGGAACTCTAGTTTTGACTTGGAAAGGAATCCAGAAGACAATCGCGTGCCAACACGCACCAGAATTTTGTATTCAAGTGTATTGAATTAGAATACGGAGTCCCTGAAGAAATTGCAACACTTGCGGTTCGCCACGCTCTTCGTCATTTGCTTCTTGAGTTTTACCAGGAACACACCAAGAATCTGCAACGCCTGCGATTCCCACAGGCACCTATTGTTTTGTGGTGGACATCTAAAAAGCATTCCTACAGAAATCGCAACGCTTCGGGCTTCCCCATGAAACTATTGTTTTGCAGTGGATTTCAAAAGAACCCGTGAAGAAGTTGCAGCGCCTAAGATTTCCACCGACAACCATTGTTTCGTTTGAGATTTTTGAAGAAGGTCTCAAAATAAACTGCAACGCCTCGGACTTCTGGGAAAAAACATGGTTTTGTATACATTCCCAACCGTCCGTTATTGATTTCTGGTTTTGATTAGAGCACAGTGGTCGCGTCCCGCCTTCCTGTCCGTACCGCCTCCCGTTTGCTCTCTCTCTCTCTCTCTGTCTCTCTCTCTCTCTTTCTGCCGTTTTTTGTTGTTTCTGCCTAGAGGGTTCTTACTCGCTGGGCTTCAAGGGACCGGGCAGTGTTCCTCGCCCTGGGCGGTTCCCCCAGTATCCGCCCCGCAGTTCCCCAGTTGCGCTCCCTTAGCTTAGCTTAGCTTATCTCATCTTAGCTTAGCCTAGCTGAACTTAGCTTAGCTTAGCTTAGCCTAGCCTAGCCTAGCCTAGCTTAGCTTAGCCTAGCCTAGCCTAGCTTAGCTTAGCTCAGTTTAGCTTAGCTCAGCTGAACCTAGCTTAGCGCAGCATTAGCATAGTATACCATACCATAGCATAGCACAGCATAGCATAGCGCAGCATAGCATAGCGCAGCGCAGCACAGCATAGCATAGCGCAGCATAGCGTAGCATAGCATACCATAGCATATCATTACATAGCTTAGCATAGCACAGCGCAGCATAGCATAGCATAGCATAGCATAGCGCAGCATATCATTTCATATCATATCATCACATATCATATCATAGCGCATCATGGCATAGCATCGCATCGCATATCATAACATAGCGCAACATAGCATTACATACCATAGCCTAGTATATCATAGCATGGCGAAACATATCATAACATAACATAGCGCAGCCTAACATACCCTAGCATAGCATAACATAGCATAGCGCAACACAACGCTACCGCTACAACTGCGACGATGAGGAGACGGAGGACGACGGCGTTTACCGTTACTACTAATACTGCTCTCCTCGGGGCTCCAACTCCTAGGTAGGGTCGCTCTGTGATAATGTGTGCAAACATTTTTTTACTTTCTCTCTCTATACATCCCTCTCTCTCGCTCTCTCTGTCTCTCTTTTTCCTCTCTCTCTCTCTCCTCTTGTCTTCTGCATCTCTCGTGCCTGCCTCCGACATCGCCATCCTTGGTGGGCTGCGATCTGCGAAGCGGCCGCCACTTTTGAGGGCTGCGGGGAGAGGGGCGGGGGGGGGGGGGCAACACAGTGACGCCATTCGTGAACTCAGGTTCGACCTCGCCATCCCTGGGGCTGCGATCTGCGGGACTGTCGCCATTTTCGAGGGCTTCTGGGAGGGCCAGCTAAGTGACGCCATACGCGGACTCATATTCGACCTCGCCATCTCTGGGGGCTGCGATCTGCGAAACCGTCGCCCCTTTCGAAGGCTTCTGCGGGGGGGGAGCGCAGTGACGCCATTCGCGGACTTAGACTAGACCTCGCCACCCCTGGGTGGCTGCGATCTGCGAAACTGTCGCCCCTTTCGACAGAGGCCGCTAGGAGGGCCAGCGCAGTGGCGCCATGCGCGGACTTAGCCTGGGTGGCTGCGATCTGCGAAAGTGGCACCCCTTTCTAAGGCTGTGGGGGGGTCCAACGGGGTGACGTCTTACGCGGATTCGGATTCGACCTCGCCGTGCCTGGGGGGCTGCGACCTGCGAAACGGTCGCAGTTTTCGAAGGCTGCTGGGGTGGGGTGGGGTGGGCAGCGCAGTGGCGCCATGCGCGACTCATATTAAACATTGTCATCCCTGGAGGGCTGCGATCTGCGAGACTGTCGTCACTTCCGAGGGCATCCCTGGGGGGGGGGGGGGCGCAGCATTGTAGGCTCTTGTCTGCGCCCAGATTAAGCTTCGCCATCCCTGGGGGGCAGCAATCTGCGACACTGTCGCCACTTTCGTGCCTGCCTGGGGGGGGGGGGACAGCAGAATGTGGGCCATGCCCAGAGCCAGATTCGACCTCGCCATCCCGGGGGGTGGGGATAGGCGGGAGGGGGGGGGGGGAGGGTGCGACCTGCGAAGCCGTCGCCCCTCTCGTGGGCTGCTAAGGGGGGGGGGTGGCAGCGCAATGACGTCATGCGCGGACTCGGATTTGACCTCTCTGTCCGTGGGGGTTTGCGAACTGCGGCACCGTCGCTACGGTCAAGGGCTACTGCGGGGTCCAGTATAGTGAGGTCTACCCAGATTGTAACAAGACCTCGCCATCACTGTGGGGCTGCGGTCTGCGAAACTGTCGCCACTTTCAGGGGCTGCTGGCGGGGCCAGCATCGTGGCGTCGCGCGCAGACTGGGTGGGATTCGACCTCGCCGTTCCTGTGGGGTTGCGACCTGCGGAACTGTCGACCCTTTCCATGGCTGCCGGGGGGAGGGGGGGGCAAACTACTGACGCCACACGCTGACTCAGACTCGGCCTCGCCATCCCCGTGGTGGGGCTGTGACCTTCGACGCCGTTTTCGCGGACCCAGACTGGACCTCGCCATGCGAAGCTGTCGCCACTTTCGGGGGCTGCTGGGGGATCCAACGGGGTGACGCCTTATGCGGATGCAGATTCAACCGCGCCGTCCTTGGGGGCCTGCGGCCTGCGAAACTGTCGCCGTTTTCGAGGGCTGCTGGGGGGGTGAATGGGGCATTGTGGGGGCCCTACGCAGGTCCAGATTCGACCTCGCCGTCCCCGGGGGGCGCGATCTGCGAAATTGGTGCCACGTTCGAAAGCTGCTTGGGGGGGCAGCTGCCTTGCCCAGATTCAGATTCCACCTCGCCGTCCCTAGGGGACGGTGATAGTTGGGGGGGAGGGCGGCATAATGGACAAATTAACATTGAACCTCGTGATCCTGGGGGGGCTGCGATCTGCGGAGCCGTTGCCGCTTTCGAGGCCCGGTGGGGGGGGGCGGCGTAACGGGGGGGTGGCCTGCCCAGACTCAGATCGAGGGCTGCTGGGGAAAGGGGCAACATCGCGGGTACCTGCATCGGACCTAGATTGGACCTCGCCGTTCCCTTTTGGGGGTGCGATTTGGGATCGTGTCGCAACGTTCGAAGGCTGCTGGGGGGGGGGAAGGGGGGAGTTCTCTGTCCTTTTGAACCGCGGGAACAACTAATCACCTCCATCATGCTCTTGTCCGTCGATAGGCACCCTGTAAGTCGCGCAGCTCGGGGAGCCTCCCAAGTAGCGTTCGCAACACATGCAGGTCCTTGCCATGTTATCACCACCTGTAACTTCATCCCAGCTCTTCTGGCCATATGTTGCGAAACTGTTGGGTACATCCTCAAGGCATTTGTTCCCAACCATCCTGTGGTGTTGGGTCTTCGTTTTCCCATATCCTAAGAGGGGGTTCTTGTTATTACTCTGACGCCGCCGACTCCTCAGTCAGGCCTCCTCCAATTCTCGTCTCCTCGTACTTAGATTCGTCCATACTCAGATTCCTTCGCGCTCATACTATGCAGACTTGTTCACATTCAGACTCGCTCGTATTCATACTCTCTCGGATTCACTCATGCCAAGACTCTGTCGCAATCAGTCATTCATATCCAGAAGATTCGGAGGATGTCTCAGGTGGGGTGTTGGTTTCAGCACC